AGCTGCTCCACTCGCAGGCGAGGTGGGGCCCCTGCATCCCTCTCGACCTCATCGTCGAGGTCATTCGTTGGGGTAGCCTCTCCCTCGTGGATGCTTTTGACGTGTCCCTCGAGGGTACCTACCACGAAACATTCACGAGAAGGGTGATGGCTCCCCCCGCTAGAGTCAGAGTCAGAGGGCGACCCCGATTCACCCACGAGGAGGTCGTGGAAAGATTCCGCGACATATTCGGTCATCCCCACAAACTCGTCGTTCACAGGGGATGGAGGCGTGTGTTGCGCCACAGGATGGCCAACGGTCTCTGCGGTGTTGCGGAGACCGAATGGGAGCGCTGTCGGGGTGCTCCAGATGAGGTATTCCGGGAAGAGCGGCTCTCCTCCGGCAAGCTACGTCATGACGTTGGCGAACGAGAAGGTGAGATGGCGCAAGTCCTCCTGGGACGGTCGGGGTCCTAGGAAGGTGCCGAGCTGGCGCTCTAGCCTCCCGTAGTCGAAGCCGAGGAGTTAGTCATTTCCGGAGGCGCAGGCCTCTGGTGCGTGCAGCTACAGCTCCTCAAGCGCCTCATTGATCACATTGAGGCCGGCGGAATGGAGAGGTTGGACGACGACGGGAGCCCGCACTAACTCTCCCCCCGTCGTGACGATGAAGTCTAGGTTCCCAAAGCGCACGTGCGTGCCCAGGACCCAGCTGATGTTGTGACTAACCATCCGAGGCCAGATATGGACGTCGAGACGCGCAAAAGGCACCTACTTGGCGAGCCAATTGTCGGTGTTTCGAGTTACCACCGATGAGTAAATTTGTATTATTGCGCTCTGGCTCGGATGGTGTGCTTAGAGGATACGAGGTTTATACTGGTTCGGGCAGAAAGTCTCTACGTCCAGTTCGTCGCTGTTACTCGTGTTACTAGCAACGAAAGTTTATAGTAGGGGTTACAAACGAGCGAGAGAGGGAAAGAATCCTAAGTCTCTGGTGAAAGGAGTGAGTGGGTGCTGAGTTCGATCGCTGCTCAGTTGTGCGTTCGTGTTGTGCTCTTGTGCGGATTTGTATCGGATCTTGATGGGTCGGTCGGTTCGGGCTCTTCATGGGACGCCCTGCTTTCCCTTTATAGGCCAAGAGAAAGCGTGGGTTACAGCGGAGGAAAAGAGAAGAACTAGAGAGGGAGAAGAATGCCTTTAGGATCGCCGGGTCCTTCTCCTTCATGCGGGTTTCGCTGACCCTGTAGATGTCAACAAGGACGGCTGCACATCGCGGTCATGTCTGTCACTGGCGCCATGCGCAGGCGTCATCCGCCGGTCATGGCGCTCCACTCCGTTCTGGTAGACGTCGTGGTGAACTGACGCGCCTGTTAGTGTTCGTACGAGGGTTAGGCAGAACAGCACCGGTACGTCCGACGCTGTTCTTGATGTGAATCCTCATGTATGGCTCGTCGTGGCCGTGGGTTACATCAGGGCGTGCTAGTCTCTTCCCTGATGTAAATGTTTTGACCTAGACCCATACGCTTGGACCTGGATTGGTTAACGACGGGCCGACGGTATGGGTTCCCGTCGGGCGAGACGCAGCCCGCACCCAAGGGGTCTGGCAAGGCGGAGCCCACGGTCTTGGGGTCGGATGAGGCCGAGCACAAACCCAAGGGTTGGGCGAGGCGGAGATCGCAACCTCGGGGTCGGGCGAGGCGGAGCCCGCGGCCACGGAGATCGTGGCCTCGGAGTCGGGTGAGGCGGAGCCCACGCAACTGGGGTCGGGCGGAACTGTAGGTGCGCTCTTAACTACTGGGTTGAATCAATATTGAAGACTATTAGCTTCTTTTGAGTATCATAGTATTGGTCCTTCACAACCCTGCGTCTATTATTTTATTTATTTTTTTGTATTCACACAGAGAGAGAAGCGGGAGAAATAACTTTATTGTTTTTGTCTTCAACCTCCTCTAGCTGTGCACCAAATTTTGCCGTAACACAGTGCCGACGTTTTGTCTTCTCAGCGATTTCGTTCTTTTTTCAGCCCTTGTCTCGTGCAGCCGCGATAGCGATGTATCCGCGCTCGAGAGGAGCAGCTGCGCCACCTCGGTGGCCCCCTCCCTCGTACGCACGCACGCCACCTCTCGGAGCCTGGAGGCAATAAATGAGAGGAGATGCCATGGCGACGGCGTACATACGTGTGCAAGTGGATTGATTCGCGCGCTGGCCTCGTTCAATGGAGACTAATTGTCGCCGTGTGGGCGTTGTGTGTTGAAGCTATGCGGCTGTTGAGGAGCGCGGGCATGGCGTCCGCGGGTGTCGTTCCCAGCGTTTGTGCCAGCGGGCGCCCTGGATCTCGGTTCCTCTTTGGAGGAATGGTGGATCTCGGCCACCGCCGGCGTCTGTGGCCTATCGTGCACAGCAGCGACCCCGCGCAGGCAGCCCACCAGGACCCGTGCAGCAGATTCTTCTCCATGGTCGGCCGGCCATGGCCCTGTCCCAATCCGCACCCAAGAACAAACAGGATGAACAGGATGGCCTGGGTGGCCGTGCCGCCCCCATACGCCCCGGCCTGGTGGCCGCGCCGCCCCCACATGCCTAGGTCTGGGTGGCTGCACCCCCAGCCGCGCTAGCCAGGAAGGCTGTGCCCCTAGCCACGCCGACGTAGAGGAAGGGGACTTGCCAGAGGAGCTCGTCGGAGGAAGGAGATTTGCCAGAGGAGCTCGCCGGAGGAGGGGGTGTGCTCGCCGGCGGAGGGGGACTCACAAGAGCAGCGGCGGCGCGTGGAAGACCTCGCCGGAGAATACAAGGCTGCGACGGTGCGGTACGGCAAAAATTGGTTCGAGGTTGAAGATGAGGGCAATAAAATCATTTCTCCCGCCTTCTCTCCGTGAATACGTTAATTGAATAAAATAATAAGCATGGTGTGTTACGATGTTACGTGCCTGCTAGGATTGAAGGAAGAGACGGCGATGGAGCCATAGTACCTGCGGGTACTGTTCACGCGAGGGGAGAGGGCAGAAACGGCAAGCGAAGCCAGCGACTTAATTATTGCTTCTTCCTTCCTTATAATTGATACAGGATTTTTTTTTGGCCGGCTCCGCTTGCCATAACATACGACAAATACACGTGATTTTATAATAACACTGGACAAATTCTACTTATTACGATGTCCAATTAATCATTATGTATTTTAACGATGTCCTGCTGTAAAATCTCCCTTTTCCTTATTAGCTAGTACAAAACAACTCTGAAACTGTGGCAGAGTTGCCACCTAGCACTGCCTACCAACAGTGTCGTACAGTAGTGTACACCAAAAGAAATTTCTGATTACGCGCAGCATAAAAGTGTCCACACCAAAAATCTGAGTACGCGCAGCATAAAGTGTCCACACCAAAAAATCTGATTACGCGCAGCATAAAAGCGTCCACAGTTCAAGATAGCAAAGGCATCTGAACCACTTGGAAGTTTCTTTAGCCTATAAACCGTACAACAGGCTACTACAACCTGTCAAAGCAGAGGTGCGCGCTCCTCCATCGTCAGGCTAGGCCTTGTTTAGTTTGTAACTTTTTTTAAGCTGATGAATAGTACCACTTTTGTCTTATTTGATAAATATTGTCCAATTATAGACCAACTAAGTTCAAAAGATTCATATCGTGATTTCCAACTAAACTGTGTAATTAGTTATTTTTTTATCTACATTTAATACTCCATACAAGCAGCTAAAAATTAATGTGATGGAGAGAGAGTAAAAAAACTTGGAATTTAGATGGTATCTAAAGAAGGCCCTAGTGTAATTTTTTTAGCCGAACTGGAATCAAGCAGTAGGCAATATCTCCATCAACTAGCAAAATATGAATGAAGCAGTAGGCAAAACGTTTTTTTTGCCAAACCGGAATCGAGCAGTAGGCAAAATCTTCCTTACGCACACCACAGCCAGCTTATTATGTGTTGCGCAGATGCTTCTCAGTTCTCAAAGCAGGTAGAACATGAACATGATGGCTGCTATTGACAAATACAATATTGATTCTCAATGCAGTTAGAACATGAGTCGCGCTGTTCGCTTTGCTGAAAGTAACGTTTGAGAAAAATACAAGCGAACAGGACTGACAAATGCAGATCGCAGCAGCGAGGGGCCAGATTTTTGTTACTAAGAACTTCTTAGCAGGGCGAATCAGACACAGGATGATAATTAGTGGCACTAATAGTGGGAGCAGGGCCAATCAGACAAGATGACAAGAACAGGCAGCAAAGGGGAACTGACACCAGTGTCACCAGCAGCAGCAGAAAAGCTCATCTCCTCCTTTCTCTGTTGCACACAAACACACTCCCTGCAAAGCATCATGCCATCATCATCACATCCATCCACAACAAAACAACCAGGCAACGCAGATGAGTAGTACTGGAGTATAGTAGTAGGTGCCAGCAATTCCAATCCGTACCAAACATCCGGCCAACCGTGTGATCCAACCACCCACAGAACCGTAGTACCACAAGCGCATTGCCCATGCGCATATGCACATAATCGTAATCAAATCACGTGAGTGAAGCATAAACGTAATCAAAAGCACAGGCAGTAACAAGCACAAGGATTAATCTGCAGTCTGGAAGAACAAACCACAAAAAAAAGAGGAGAGGCAGATTTGACATCCCCTCAAGCAACACAAGACCAATCCATCTCACTTCTCAATTCTTCTTAAAACCTTAACGACGACGACGACAACGAGACCAAGCACACTCGATGATGACAACTTACTTTGAGTTCCTCTACGAACCAAACGAACCCAAGATCAGAAAGAGGGAAAAAAATCTGAAAACGACGGACGGACGGACTGACGCGCTCCTCTGCAGGGTGGGAGGAGGAGGCGGCGGCGGGTGCTCATGGGCACCCGGATCGGCAAAACTAAAGCGATACTCCGAGACACAGTGAGGGGTTCTTAGGCAGCGAGATCTAGAGGGAGGGGAGGCGGCGCCATCAGACCAGCAGGTGGTGGAGCGAGCGATCCGATCTGATCTGGCTGGACGGGACCCGGACCGGGACCCGCCTCATGTGGGGCAGTCGCGGGCGATGTGGCCGGCCTCGCCGCAGTTGTAGCAGGAGCGGTCGCCGCCGCCACCGCCGAACCTCCCTCCGCCGCCGCCGCCGCCGCTGGGGCAGTCCCTGGCCATGTGGCCGGTCTGGCCGCAGTTGTAGCAGGCACCGCCGCCACCACCACCGTACCCGCCACTGCCGTAGCCACCTCCGCCGCTGGGGCAGTCCCTGGAAAAGTGGCCTTGCTCGCCGCACTTGAAGCAGCCGCCTCCGCCACCTCCGTAGCCGCCGCCACCGCCACCTCCGTAGCCGCCTCCACCGCCACCGTAGCCTCCACCGCCGCCGTCGGCGCTGGGGCAGTCCCTAGACATGTGACCAGGCTCGCCGCACTTGTAGCAAGCGCCGGCGCCGCCCCCGCCGCCGGATCTCCGGCCGCCGCCCCAGCTACCGCCGTAGCTGCGACCGCCGCCGCCAGATCCGCCCCCGCCGCGGGAGCCGTAGCCTCCCCCGCCGCCCCCGCCTCCGCCGCTCCCGCCCTTGACGTAGGATCCGTCGGGGCCGGTGACGTCGACGGCCTTGGTGCGGCCGTCGTCGCCCTCCGAGACGGAGAACTCCACCTCCTCGCCCTCGGCGAGGGAGCGGAAGCCCTCCGACTTGATCGAAGACTGGTGGACGAACAGGTCCTCGCTCCCGTCCTCGGGAGAGATGAACCCGAAGCCCTTGGTATCGTTGAACCACTTCACCGTCCCCCGCTGCCGCGCCGCCGTCGCCATCGCAACCCCCGAACCCTAGCTGCTGCTGCCTAGGGTTTGTTTGGGTGGATTTTTTTTTCTTCCTTCTTCACCCGGCTCCGCTCCGATCTTATCTGCTCGGGCCGCGGACTCGGCAAGGTACTTATAGAAAGAGGGCGGCGCATATGAGGAAGGCGCGGGAGGATCGGACGGCTGAGATGGCTCCGGGGACGGGCGCGGACGGTCGGGCCGGGGCGGGCGGTAGCGGCAGCTACGGGTGGGGTGGGCCCATTTGGGAGTCTCACGCGTGGCGTGGGCCCGCATGGCAGGGGCGGTCGGGGGAGAGGAAGGCAGCGCCAGGGAGGCGGAGGCAGCCGCGCTGTTGATTTGGTTGGTTTTCTGTGGGTTATGACGGGTGGGCCCGGTGCCCGGCGGCAATGGACACGGTTCGATCCGGTATACACGGGCGTGAATGGCCCTCGTGCTCCTCCTCGTGATTGGTGAACTCCATACCAGTGGTACTATATATGGTTTGATTCTTTGTGGCCTGTTGTTTTTGTCGTGTCGAGAGAAAAAAATTGTAAAACTTTATTGTTTGTTTTGATGGCAATAATACGATTATGGAGGGAGGGAACTTTTTTATATAGATTATTGTTTGGTTTGATGATGATGATTTCTTGACATCAGAACCTCCCGATTTAGAAAGAAACCGAATTTCAGAAAGGATTGATCAATAAAAAGGGAGGAGATGAGAATGTGATTTGGACTAAGAAAATAAAAATTAAGGACATGCTGCGAATGTTAGGCGAGGTTAAAAATTGGCTAAAAGATTAGTTCATCTATTAGTGCTCCTATTTCCAAAAAAAAAATCTAAAAAGCACATTGATACACGACTCAAACATCAACCAAATAAAGCGAACCAGAACAGACAAGTACTAAGATGCAACGTAAGAGATCCTACATCATCTCTCTCTACTTCTCTAGTAGAACTAGGACCGGAGTCTGATCCTACATCATCTGTCTAGTAGAACTAGGACATGAGATCCGCACCTGGTGGTCTCTCGTTGGTGCGGGAGAGTACTACGACAATGCATCGTCAACAACAACTAGACACACAATCGTACAAGTGTTTTGACCATAACTCTCGCACTGATAGCAATCATGCAGCCATGACCGCCAAACATTAAGCTAGCAACTACTGCACACACAACATTGCTTGAACCCTTGGGGATCGCACAAGGAGTGACAAACGAGGTGTACCATGTGAATGTGTTATAGACGCTCAAATCAAATTTTATCTTAAATCAGCGCTAACTATTCTTTGAAAAAAACACTATCTAGTCATGCCCAGGTCATGTAGCCAAATATTACGCACTGTGATACTTGACTCGGTTTATCTTCATTTGCTTTAACCATATTCCACAACATAAAATGCATGCCATCTCAATGAGACCACATGTTTGTGGAAGACCGTGTCTCCTTTTCTTTCTATACCTTCACTTGCTATTTCATCATAGTATCGACCATATACATGGCATATCATGCTTGTTTGACATACAATTTGCGCCTTGATGCATGACAATTTATCCATTTAAGGATATCAGAAATGTATGATATAATCAATATCATGTTCAATACTTTGCAAACATGTTAAGCTTTTAATCGTGTTGTCATTCAATTCACTAAAGTGCTAGATGCAATTTCAATACTCTACAGAAGGGAGGAGTAACTCAACTGTTGTTTTTTTATCAAAAATACCTCTGTTTTTTACTCTATAGAAGGGAGGAGTAGCTCAACTCATAGATAATAGTTAGTTGATAATACTTGTCAATTGGCACGAGAGTATTTCAGTTAATTTTGCTACCAATTAGCTGCTTTTGAGATACTAGCTAGCTAAGAGCATCTCCAAGACACTCTTTATACCTCCTCTAATTTTGAGGAATAGATATTTTGGTGGAAAAATACCCTCCAACAACCTCTTCATCAATTAGATATCCAAATATAGATATCCTCTGTTCCGGATTTCTCGCTATCTAAAGATGAAGAGCAAGGATGGCTCTCTAGACTGCGTACAAGATATAGAAAAACCGTCGGAGAATACAAAAATATAGAAAACGATTTTACTCAAATGACTCTCCAAATGATGATTTAGACTTTTGGAGATGTTCTAACACTTTGCTAGTCTATTAGCTATAGTTAGTTAGGTATCTTGCCAACAATTAGGTGATCTATTAGTTGGACAGTATAGATCCACCACTAAATTGTAGCAACTGTCTACTATTTGAGTAGATCTAAATAGACCCTAAGATGAATTTTGACAGAGCATATGAACGTTTAAACACACCCTAAGATGAAGTTTTAAAGAGCATATGATGGGCCTGCAAATCTGGTTGGGCAACATTGCTATTACATAGTACACCATAATCGTACGATTACACTTTCCTCCATTCCAATGCGTTTTGACATGATCACATCCCAAAAATCCAACTTTGAACATTGACGTGCCAATTCAGAATATCTGTCAAGATATCAGCAACCGAAGAAACTTGATTAGAGTTGGACACGGCCCTAGACATCGATTACTTCTGCCTGAACACTAGACCAAGTGATACCGTGCCTTCTCTTTTTCTATTTTAATCTTGACGAGTAGTTTCCAAGCGTGTAATTTCTTGCCCCAAGCTTGCAAATATTAGAACGGAAGGATCTTTTGACCATTAGCTGGGGCGCTGATGGATACTCCTGAGCACGCCATGTTTAGCTTGAGCTCACATCCTAGGAATCACCGGTTCAAATTTTGGCGATACACAAAAACATCACATGGCATCAACAAAAAGGACAAAGATATCATACTTCGTACAGCTGACAGTTTTGGAGACGATTACATTAGCCACTGCTACCGGCCCACAGGCATTGTACTACAAACATGTTCCAGAAACCCATCAATTTGAAGCAGTAGCAGTTCCATGCACTGTCCGGTTCACTGAAGTTCAAAGCGTTGACCTGAGTTGCCGTGCCATAGCAAAAGAATAAACTGTGGAGGCAAAGGCAATGCCGTTTGGGCTCATTTGGCTTATAAGCCATGACTAAAGTACTGTTCGCTGGTTTGGTATAAGAAAAAAATACTATTCGTTGATTGATAAGTCATGGTTTATAAGCCAAATACGACCAAGCGAACAAGTCAAATACGTTGTCACTAAGTGTAACAGTGTCATTGAAATGGTTTATGGTGCGTGCCGCTGCAGGGCCTTGAAAGCAAGACTCCCATTGTTGCCATGTAAGTCGTTCTCCAAACCCAGATAAGAAATAAAGCCAACACATGTGGCCCTATTCGTTTGTCTTATGAGCTGTACTATTTCAGCAAACGAACAGTGTTTCTCTCTCACAACAAATCAGCGAACAATACTTTCAGCCATTGGCCATAATGCTTGTATTTTCACAACTTTGCTATCACTGCACATGAAGAAAAGATGCGAGCAACAATGATTTCTACAGTGCAAGTGTGAGTTCCCATCACAGCTCAGCATCTTTGTTTGTGGTTCGTGGCTAAGCTAATAAGCTATTGCTGTCTCATGATTTCATTTTGCACATTCCTTAGCATCCAAAAGACTTATCCGTGCAGAGGCATCAAAGCTCATAATTAACAACCTATCGGACCTTAGTGAGGCATTCCATCCTTAAAGCGTCCTCCAACTGAGAGAATAATGATGAGAAGGTTCCTGCAGAAAAAAAAAAACAGAAAAATGAGTGTCCTTGTCACCACGACAGGTACCTTAATAATAAGCAAGTCCATTGGGATAACAGTAGTCACATGAGGTTAATGTAATATCTGCATCTGTGCATATGCATATATAGTACACATGAACAGCACATTTTGTAGCAGTTTCAGTTTTCATGAAACAAATACGAAAGAATTAGCCAGGAGATTATTTGATAACTTTTGGTTTGATTCGTAAAATGAACAGTCCATCCTCCACAACCAAGACAGTCGGTAATAGAAGAGCTTTAAAACCAACATGTCATATGATCCGGATGTACAGGCTCTGCCTCCTACAGACCAACAGCCAATCTAGAAATGGTCCCTAAGATACCCTAGTGTCATTTATGTCTCCATCGTGAGATTAGCCACTAGCATCTGTCTAGAGCCGGTGACAAACCTGTCAAGCCATATGCAAGAGCCAGCCAGACATCAGTACCACCACCACTCCCTCTTTACATGATAGACAACTATTCTTCAGGACCAGTTTATCACTATCGGCCCAGCACAGCCTGTAGACTTGGCGTTTATTGGTGCATCTAACTTTCAGTCTCGATGAACAGATTTCATTATAAATAGGGAGCACATGGCGTAGTAAAAGCATCGACGAACTATTACAAAAGGAAGTCACCATCCTGGACACCCAATAGCATTACCAGAATGGGTTTCAGATCTCATGTGTCATGAATGCATAGTAGTAGTTCATTCAACTGTTCTATACAGTAGATGGGAAGGACATAAACAGCTCAACATGGAGGCACCATGCTATTTGAGATGGATTTGATAGGTGTATAGTTACACACGGCCTGTTCGCTAGTTGATTTCTGGGCTGATAAGCTCGACTAGTGCTGGTTTGTTGTGGGAAGAAAATACTGTTGGCTGGTTGATAAGCCCTGGCTGAAATCAACAAGCGAACAGGCTGACCAAGACCATAAATGCATGTCATATCTTAATGCAATCTGATAAATGTGTTTCAGTATGATCGTGTAATATGCATAGTCACATAAAGACCATGGGACTACCTGATAATGCTTTATTATTCAATAATGAACCTTTGATTAGGAGGGTCCCAGGAATTTGTTCAAACACCTACACGAGGATAAAAAAAAAGATGTGCGACAATTATTTCAGAAAAGAAACTTAACAAAGTATCAGAAACGTAATTTGCAGTCAACATACTGTAATACGAAATGATATTCCCTTGACAACACTTTGTAACTTTGCAGTGCTGTCTTCTAGAGAACCGGCATAATCATCCCCATGCAATATTGCAGCCTCAATCTGCTCATCTGACAGCGTGACCTAAAGAAATATTTCAAGCCAGTATTAACACGAGAACACAATGCATAAACATCATAGATCTCAAGGAGATCAGTGTTTACATGTCTGTTACGATGAAATTTAAGAAGCTGAATTAGTGTCATACTAACAAAGAAACTTACATCAACCGAAAAGGATAACGAATCAGTTTTGCATGATAGATTAGAAGCTAGAAAGAAAGCCTCAGTTGATTTCAGAACTTGGAATGCACCATGTTCACGCCGAAGGCCCTTATTTCATTATGCCAAATATACATTTGAAAACAGAGGTTAGACAAAGTGCAAATATAGTAGAGTAGCAATGATTCTTACATAAACATAGCCGCTTGAGAAACAGGTGAAGTAGACAGGAAGGTTTCTGAATGAAGTTAGTCAACAAGATTGCTTCAACCTTATTACAAGGTTAACTAGGCAAATAAGTAAAACAACAAACAAAACAATCTGAACATCTCAACTATGCAAGTTTGGATACCCAGAGCTTCACAGAACAGATATGAGCTGGAGTATAGTGCAGATATGAGCCGGAATTTTTTGTTTGGTTTGTTAACGAGACCCAGCTGGGTAACTTGTCAGTTTGAATGACAGAACATATGTAAAGGGACAATAGGTGAAATGATGCCAACCTGAAGCATAAAGGAATGGTGGTTTTTTGCTGGAGCACTGTGGCTGAGGACCATTTTTCTTGGTCTTGGAGCAACGAATGACCAAGCAAGGCCCCATCTAGCTGTCTGACCTTGTACAAATTCAGTAGTTTTCACGACTGAGGCCCCAACCTCACGAACCTTTGAGATCAATAACTTTAAGTTTGCCTTTCTGCCGATCATCGATGTAAACCACCTAAACAACAAAATAACAAAACCATCGTACAGATGAATACAAAAACATAACACGCATTACCATAGTGAGAAAAGCTTTGAATTACCTGAAAGAGTTCTTAAGGGAAACACTATCTTCAATGATTTGTGTAACAAATGCCAGCTCGCCACCAGGGCAAACCATCTCTTCAGCTGTCCCACCGCATGATGTTTTTGGGTTAAGACCAGCTTCCTCTATGCTCTCAAAGAATGGAGGATTGCACATACAGAAGTCAAAGCTCTCACTCTCCTTTACAATACCCACAAGGATATGTGCCTTTGGCATAGCTACATCCTCCGCAGACTCTAAAATTTTCTCCCTTGCAGCTTCCCTGACAACATATTCAGATTCAGAGGACGGTGCATTTGCATTTCTGATTTCAATTAGCTCTGCTAGGTGTGGATTGCTCTCCACATTCTTCTTAGCCCATTCAAGAGCAACATTAGTGACATCTACAAACAAAAGACAGTTACATAATTGAGTGTACACATCTCTCATTTAACGAGACAATGATTCACAGAACTGAACATGAAGTGCAGAAGGTAGAAAGGAATACCAGATCCAACAAAGGTCCATCCCAGTAAAGATGCTCCAAGGAGAGGATAGATGCAATTGGCACCTGTTCCAATGTCAAAGCCCTTCACTCTCTCACTTGAACTGGATATTGGTGGTATCAGATCTGAGGAGAGAAGATCCTCGATCCAGTGAATGTAGTTGGACCTGTTTGGAACAGTAGGGCAGAGCTGTCCATCTGGAATCCACCTAACAGTAGCTAAGATTAAAATCGTGTTTAAACAATGGTCTAGCATAGCTATACTGCATGAAAATCACATCCAAAACATAGAGCAAACAGTGTGCGTGCTGCATATAGACTTTGATGGATTTTTTTTAACTAAACCTTTCTTAGTTTTAGCAAGGATGTAATTTGTAAGAACAAAAGTTACTTTTAATGTGGCCGTATGAGTATTTTCTACATCAAACAGTCTAACCCTAAAGCAGTAACAAATATTTACTGAAATGTCTATTTTCTACATCGAATAGTCAACCCTAAAGCAGGGACAAATATTTACTGAAATGTCTAAGCACAAAATATGCAAATAAGAAGCACAATGAATGAAATACAGTGCAACAGCATGCATGGAAAACTAGGTGAAACCTAGAAGTCAATGTTGAATTCAAACCAAAACGTAAGATTTTCCCGTTCACTGTTATCACTTGGTAGAGTACGTGTGTAACATCAGCAGTTTGTAAACGGACAATTAGTCCCAAATACTGAAAGTAGACAACAGTAAAACAATTCAAACTTCATACACCCATCACAGTACTTGTCGGTTTCATGGATTCCATGGGCAAGGTGGAGCGAACGATCATAGCCAGCAGCAAATTCGGCACAGGGGATCATGCTAGGGTTCATGGCAAGAGCCGAAGGCAGAGTAATAAGGGGAGGGGGGTTAGCCAGTGACACCAACCAGTTGACGCCATGGTCGTGGAGGAGGAGCACGCGCGTGAGCTCCCGGGTGGCGGAGAAGTCGGTGAAGTCGACGGACGCGCGGCCGCGGTCGGAGACGGAGACGAAGGGGCGGAAGGACGGGTAGAGCTCCGCCAGCGCGGCGAAGTCGGGCGCGGCGGCGGCGTAGCGGTTGCGCGGGTGCATCGACGGCGCATCCGAGCCGTCGCGCCGCCGCCGCTTCCGCCCGCCGCCCATATCGGCGTGGAGGTGGAGCGCCGGCCGCCGGCGAAGCACGGTGGAGGCGGAGGCGGAGGCGGAGGCGCAGACGTGTACTTTTTTTTTTTGAGGAAACGCAGACGTGTACGTGGGCGGGCCGACGCGCGGTGGAAGAGCACTCGATTGTTTCTGGGCTTTCCTGCCAGCACGCCCGTAGACCTGATGTGGCCTTTGGGCTCTATCGGTGGTTGGGCCCAGGAGCCAATCTGACACAACGCGTCCGTTCTCGCTGGCGTGGCCTAAAAAGTTGACCTAATGTCATGCTTGGGTCAGGCTCGCGACGGTCAAAAAAGAAAAAAAAATACCGGGTAGCATTTTGAATTGGTCTATTTTCTTTTTGCGACTGTTTATTTACTCGGGTTAAGTTTTGAGAATAATTTTTTTTAGCGACCGTGATCCACACGTTTGCCATTAAAAGGAAAAGTTTTGAGAATACATTTAGTCACTACTCAATCTATATTCTGTACATACTACAAAGTCGTCGTCTTCATGTTCATCTTACGATGATGATTGGCATTTCTAAAGCATCTCTCTGTCCAGAAAAAGACGACAATTGGAAATTGGAATCACAAGGTGATCGCAATCTTGCCACATATATATAAGCACTTAGCTTGCTATGGTGCATATCTGTTACAGGACAAGTTCGAGACAGGTTATGCCATTGCCACACCTTTAGCATCCGTTAGGTTGACCAGCTAGCAAAGTTATTCTGGAGATGTGAACGTCAAAAAGAAATTTCGGAGATATGGATGGGGACGAAAACGCCGACTCCGATCCCTCCATCCACCCCGCCCTTCGATGCAAGTAGTGAGAAACGAATGAATTTGGGGACCCCCAAAAGGAGCAGCAATTGGCAATTGTGTTTTGGATTCTGGACGCAACGCGTTGTTGCGAATGCGAATAAAGAAGGGGTGTCTGGTTTCTCCCCCACCCCCAAAAAGAAAAGAAGGGTGTCTGGAATCAAACAACTTCCATGGTGAAATGGTGAGGACCGGCCTGCTGGGAGATGCTTCTTGGTTGTGGACCGTTAGTGACTAGTATAGTCCTATTAGGGATGAACTTCGTCTGTAGAACATGCTGCTCGTCGACATTTTTTGTTTTTTCCATGGTTTTCACACTGTTTTTGAAGCAGGAATCATGACGCAGGGTTTGTGTATGACAAGTGACTTATGATGTGTTCTTAATATATATAATATAATAATTCATCAACCATCAGAGACCTCACACCACCTGGGCTCCGTCAATGAATGCACTGGGTTTGTGTACGCAAACACAGCGGCAAGGGCGTGCTGTGCCCCTGTGCTGCACAGGACCATGCAAGCACGTATACTCGTGCTGTACGGTTCTGGAGTAGTACAATTAGCTAACCAAAAAATAAAAAAGACCTAAACCTGACTCTTGGGCCGGCGGCCGGCGCGGTCCAATCCAACTATCCAAGCGGCCGCACATCACATCACACGCCGGGCCCGGCCCGGGAATATCTCGCCCACTGGCACACGGCGGCAACGGCATATCCTCCCCCTACCGTCCTACGACGACCACGACGGCCGCAGCCACGTGCACCCGGTCCGTGCATCGTTTTCCCGGGGCGGCGCGCACGGCACCGTCTCGGCTCCCTGGACCACGTCCACTGACCTTATACGTCCCACCGAAACCGGCCCCACACCCGCGTCACCCGCCTCGCCTCCACCCGAGAGAACCCGGTCTGTCAGTGGCACAACGGGCGCTGGGGCGGCCGGAGACTTACCTAACCACGGTTCCACTAACCCCAGTACCCCACCGCCTCAACCCAAGCGGGGTTAGCGCCCACCCGTGAGATCGCGCCACGCGTCCAGATCCAACGGGTCTCCACCTCCCGAGCCGGCTATTTAACCGCACCGGGTCTCCCCCTCCCGTCCCAGGTCATCCACCAGATCCTCCGCCTCTGCTCAATTAACAAATCCCCCACCCAACTCCAGATCCCAGAACCCTAGGCCGCAGTCGGCGATGGCGAACCCCCGTGTCTTCTTCGACATGACGGTCGGCGGCGCACCAGCAGGCCGGATCGTGATGGAGCTCTACGCCAACGAGGTCCCGCGCACCGCCGAGAACTTCCGCGCGCTGTGCACGGGCGAGAAGGGCGTGGGGAAATCGGGGAAGCCGCTCCACTACAAGGGGTCCACGTTCCACCGCGTGATCCCGGAGTTCATGTGCCAGGGCGGCGACTTCACCCGGGGCAATGGCACCGGCGGGGAGTCCATCTACGGCGAGAAGTTCCCCGACGAGAAGTTCGTGCGCAAGCACACGGGCCCCGGGGTGCTGTCCATGGCCAACGCCGGGCCCAACACCAACGGCTCCCAGTTCTTCATCTGCACCGTGCCGACCCCGTGGCTCGACGGGAAACACGTCGTGTTCGGGCAGGTTGTGGAGGGGATGGATGTGGTCAAGGGCATCGAGAAGGTTGGGTCTCGCAGTGGGTCCACTGCTAAGGAGGTCAAGATCGCCGACTGCGGCCAGATCTGATGGCTGTCGTCGAGCGTGCGGCCGCCCTCGTTCTCTCCGTCGTCGTTCGTCGTTCCGTTCCGTTTCCCCTCCCCTCTGAATAAGATGGCGTTCGTGCGGCTGGTGATCTGAGAGGTGGTCGAGTACTTTGAGTCTGAATTCTGTGTCCTAGAGTATGAGTCAGTCTGTCCGTTTAATCGTTGCCTCTCTGGTGGTTGCTAGGGTTTCATAGGTGGTCGATCTTCGTCGTCGTGTTTCTGCTGTGTAATGGTGTGATCTGCTCTGGTTGCTTCTGATTGTGTGATGCGCTGACTGTTCCCCGGTTTTCTGATCTCTGATGCGCCTGCTAAGTGCCAAGTGCCGTTTCAGTTTGGTCTGTCAGTTTATCCATCCCCCCCGGTTGTTTCTGTCGTTTTCTTTTTATCGAACGCCTATGGATCGTAGTGCGGCATTTTTTATTCGAATTAATTAAAGACGAGACCTTTCTCTTCGAACGTCATTGCTAAAGTGGCAAAAATGAAATTGAAAGTGGCCCTAACATCTGTTCAAACAGTGAACTAACTAGTGGATCGCTTTTCTAAATGCATTCAAATTTCGAACAACATGACTTTACTCGCCTAAATATCAGGTGATTCAAACAAGCTCTTATAGATAATCAAGTACGGTTGAGATGGGTTTCCGGATCAGCTGTCAGATAGCATCAGTACAGATAATCAGCCTATTCGCTTGCTCGTAAACGATCGTAAATTTCCAGCCGGAAACAGTGTTTTTCTCTTACACCAAATCAGTCAGCAGTAAATAATCCACGATACGATACGGTCTCCCGAACAGCCTGAATGTGGCCGTCCCAAGGGAACATCACTCTCACCTGTTCTTGGCCTCTCTGCGCCTGTCCGTTCCGAATTGTTTGCCCTCTTAACCGCTGTAGTGCTGCTACAAGAAGAGGAGGTACAGCCCCTCGTGATTAGACGGGGCTCAATCATTGCCGAACCGGCGGATCATGCTCCTTTTGGCGTTGGCCACCACCATGTGTTCATTTAGACAACTGACAAGCGCCGAGTACTACTTAAGCTGTAACCCACCGGATCTTGCACGTTGTGCTACTTCTATTTTGCAGATGCTCTACTGGACGAGCAGGAGGAAGCTTCTTCCCCCTTTGGTTGCCGTTGTTGGTCCAGATGCGAATCAAAGTGGGGGCGGTCTCATCTCATCACTAAGACCATCATCATCAGAACATGAGCAGGAGTTCACACAAGCGGCGTGCACTGCAGACGTGCAAGTGGAGACGATATTTTTTGCTACTCATCTCTCATGCTAGGAGGTTTCTGTGCTCAAGCAGGAATTCTCTGATCTCTCTCTCATGCTAGGAGTATGCGGTGGGCCTGCGAAATCGGCCAGCCACACCTCGTGGTCGGCGGCACCGGCACAAGCACAAAACACAGGCAGGTCCCGAACCGGCCTAGATGCTGTGCGTTACAAAAAAAAAGGGATCCAATCTAAACTCACCCACCAAGGTACATTACCCATAATCAAATGCACGTATTGTTTAATTTCAACAGATACACATGGGACAAACTAATAATAAACATGAACTAGAAAAATACTAAAAGAGCACTACAATTTTGATTTAAACTTTACCGTTGCTTCGTGACTTGGAAACGGGTGGCTTATGGTGTCCCTCTCCTTAACTTGCCAATTGATCTTTTCTTTTTCTTTATTTTACTTTACAAACCAGTGATAATCTACGGGATGAACGTACGTGCAAACACCAATCATGCTATAAATCAGAAAAATCATAGATTCACAGTCATGAGTCCTCACTTATGTTGTCGCTTGCCCCCCTTGCCAGCAAGCAGCTGCTCGTCTGGTTGATGGTTTTGGATCCTTAGTGTTCTGACAACCGCCGATCGTCGTCCCGCATCGCTCCCTCGTAGTGCACACTCGTGGCGCAGCAGTTGCTAAACACTAACTGTCAGGAGTCTAGGAACAAAGGGGCCCCTCCGGGTGCCGTGAAAGTTCGAACCAAGGGTTCGTCTATCGCACACTCGCAATAATGGATGGGGATTAGGAGACTAGGCAATTTGGAATTCGATATTAGGCCGAACCAAGGAAAGGAAGGAGTGGATTGGTGTTGCTTTGGTCTGAGTTGCCGCTCACAAGAAGCAAATATCACAATCCCACGAGATCACAACTAACACTAAGACCCTACCACCCCAGTCGTTCCTAGACTTCCCCATCCATGATTCGTCTCCCAAGCATAAGCATCCACTATTTCTCTTGCTCCTGCCCCCATGCACTCTGACCTCCGTCGATCTGGCCAGAGCATCGTCACTAGACGCCAACCAACTCACCGTCTCGACCGGGTTTGGAGCTCCAGAGCATAGTTAGCAAGAAGGCGCCATCGACGGCGCGGATTTGGTATACAACACTAAGTATGTAAAATGATGCAGTAATGCTTCATTTTAGTGCTGAACTGACATGGGCAAAGTATGAAAATA